CAAATTTAATTTTAATGTAAAATTATTGAATAATTATGTTTTGGTATCTAAATTTTATAAGATTTTCTTACGTACATTTTTTACTTTCATAATCTAAATATGTGTATGATGAGTATATATACCCATTTATTCGAGGGTATTTTAATTACACATACAAAAATTATACCTACTTATAGAACTTCAAAAGTTTTGGTACTAAGATGTAAAACACAAAAAAATTAGGTACGAAAATGTAATATTTCATAACTATTTTGAGGACTTATATGCCAAAAAAAAATTAGGTTATAAATCTAAAGATCTGTTAAGTTTAGGTACCCAACTGCAATTTGCATAGTTGAGACTTAATTCCTTTTATGGTGATGTATTTAAGATGATAATTATTTACTTTTTTTATAGAAAATAGAAAAAAATATTTAATATGTATAATTGTTGAAAATTCTATATATATATATATATATATATATGGTGGCGTCTTCGGTGCACTCACTTTTTTGGGTGCATTCAGTGCACTCGCTTCATAACCATTATTTTAAACATGCGATTTATGTCAAAATGATGTCAATCATCACTTATGATGTGATGAACAATAACACACATGAATTTGCACAAAAACCATTAAAGATTTACTTTAATTTGAAGGATTTAGAGTTTAGAGATTTAGGGTTAGGGTTTATAATTTGGGATTTAGGGATAGAACTCAAAATTGAAGGTCTAGAGCTTAGGGTAATCCGCTAATTAATTGTTATCATATGTTATATCATCATATTACACTAATTCTACAAATTAAAATTCAAAATCCGACACCTTAAGACTAGTTTTTGAGTTGGGTGCATTAAACGCATTCATTTTTGTGAGTGCACCGAAGTAGTCACTATGTGTGTATATATATATATAGAGAGAGAGAGCGCGCGCTAGAAAAGAAGAATATGTGAGGGCAATCGATTGCTTGGCCTGCTGCTTCATTTTCATGTATTGTGATGTCAAATTTATTAATGGGCCAATATGTAGAGGTAATAATAAATTGCTATTGTGAAGGGGCGATCGAGGTGACAACCCAAAAGAGTGTAGGAGTTATCCTAATCAAAGAAAACCGATTACATAACCATTGAGTTGTAGCTGCGTGTTATAATCGAGCAAGTACGATATTATCCTCTTTGAATCAAGGCAGTATGGTTTTACTTTTAGGTTCCTTTCCAAAAGGTCTCGTACTAATAAATGAGCTTGATGGACACTAATATACAATGATACTTTCCCTTATATTTCCGATATCGTACTTGGATTGTCCCATAACAATCCTCCCCTCAAGACAAGGACCACGTACTTCGTGCATAAAAAAAACCTGGTTGACTTTTGGATGAAACTCTTCTATATAGAGATGGAGCCTCCGAAGTCAATCCGTGTGTTTTTCCATTTTGTATGGTTCGTCGGTCTAGTTTGTCATTTTTTCCCCACCATATTTGTAATATTTGTATGTCAAAATAACAACCGGGTTGACGTTGGGACGAAACCCTCTCTATATAGGGATGAAGCCTCCAAAGTCAACCCGGTTATTTTTTTTCCATTTTGTATGATTTGTATTGTTTGTCGGTCTAGTTTGTATTGTTTATAAATTTGTTTGTATGTTTTGTTGTTTTAGTTTGTAACGTTTGTATGTTTGTATTGTTTGTACTGTTTGTAAGTTCGGTTTATATACTTCGTAATTTTTCATAATACCCAAACTACTTCTGTCATTAATTAAAAAAGTTCTTCCTACTTTTTAACTGTCAGATTCGTGTGTCCATATTTAAAAAGTGGGAGGAGTTTAGTCCAATGACTAAACAGTAAGCATCCCTTAGTCATGAGATCCGAACCCCGTGTCGTTAACTCGTCCATCGTCATCTTCGGTGACACCGCGTGACCCGTACTTAAATCAAATACAATACAGGTATATCTTGTTTAGCCCACAGCCCCACATTCACATCCCTTCCACGTTGGGCTTTATTCAAGAATCCTCCTTCCTCTGGTTGTCAAATGTGGAGGAAGAATTGCTGCTGGGAACAGAATGGAAAATTATATTTTAGCTGTGAGGTTGAGCATTGAAAATATCAGGTGGAGAACATGGCCCCTGGCACAAAATAACATGTATAAATCGAAGGATGGTCCAAAATTATTTAATTTTTGTAAAGAAAAAAAAGGTACGACAAGAGAGAATGAGAACAGAACTATATAAAAATAGTAAAATACACTGATTTTCAGGAAAAGGGTAGTATAGCCAATAAGAAAGTAGAATCGCGGCGTTGACCTTTACATGGCAAAAAAAAAAAAAAAATTTGATATTGAGTTTCAATGTTGTCTGTTCTCCACATGGAGGCACAGGTCAACGCACTTGGCGGTACACGTACTTAGGTCAGATTGTTTATGGATTATCAAAGTAAACTCATTTGAAGAACAACGCTACAAGTTTTCACCAAGTTTCCATTGAACAACAAAAAAAAATCATGCTGTGTTTCTGAGTCGTGTTTGGTGCCAATTAGTTCAAAATCAACCGTCACCACTCACCAATAGATTATAAAATAGAAAGGTTTCTTTCTTTCTTCTTGGCTTACTCTCCACAGGCCTCGTCATGGCCAATTGGATTTCAACTGTTTGCCGCCTAAATTTGACCAATCCCACCACTCCACGTACTATCTTTCTTTCTCTTTAACTAAGACCTGAGAAAATTTCTGTATATATGTTATATGTGGAGGCATTTATATTGCCGGTCCTCCAAATCTATACATATCCATTATAAGGGTTGATTTGAGCATCAATTTATTGAAAATACGTAGTCATTAGTGTATTTTTGTAATACAGAAGTCTTGATTACAATTAATTTTGTTAAATAAACTCATGATTTCATTTAAGTGGACCAACCCTCATCCATTTTGCATGCTAGATAGGCATTAGCCACCACCGTACGAACAATATGAGACTTTACTCTTTTTTTCTTCTTTCGGTGAGCGCTTAAAAGGCATCCTAATCTTTATTCAGTAGCAAAATGACTCATTCCTTAATCATTATATCTCAATTTTCTATAAATTAAAAGTAGCTCTGAATTGCTTCAATGTTTCATTTTTTTTTCCGAAACTTTAGAATTTATTAGTCCTGTTATTCTCTTTGTTGTTGGTTCATAGTGTTGTTCCTTTCATTTCTAGTATATCATATGAAAAGTAGAGTTGGTAAAATATATGATCTCCTTACATGTCATAGAGAGTCGAATTGCTTCGAACAACACTCTATGAGAATATTATCCGACCTGACTCAGCACAATTATACTTAGTCATGGGAGAACATTAGCATACATACATATAATATTATATCTTACGAAGTAATGACTAATTTTGTCCATACAAATACAATACACGGAATAAATTAATATTTTGAAGGAACAAATACAACACAAGTAGCTAGCTAGCCTACACACAGGAATGGCAACCCTAAACGTAAGGCTGGCTATTTGGTGCGGGTTTTTTTATTTTACCCGAAACCGGACCGTATAACTCGGACCACGACCAGATCGGGTCCGAATAGTAAACAATCCAATCCAATTTTTGGGCTTAGATTTGAGATAAAAAAAACTGTTCAGGACCGGATCAAAAACTAGATAAAGACCGGATAAGAGAGTTCAACACCCAAAACTTAAGGGTAATTTGCATAAACGGTCACAAACCTTTGCACTTAGTACAAAACTTAACCAACTCCTCACCCTTTCAGGCCGTAGGCCACTCAAATCCCCACAAGTTCAATATAAAATCAAGACCGAATTGGGACCGGACTGGGTCAAGACCGGACCGGATCAAGACCGGACTGTATCCAATCCAATCTTTGGTCCTTATATTTTCAAAAAAACCAGACTGGACCGGATCAATTTGAACCAATTTAACCGGACTGGACCGTATAGCCACCCCTACCTAGACGTATTAAATCGAATTCGATCGAGCATAGTTAAAATTGTTGGGACACAAGCATGGCCCTGGCCGAGAAAGGGACATTAGAAAATGTCTCCACGCGCCTGCCCGCCTCTCAACTGTTCCTCTGATGAGTTTCCACAACCCTACTCAAGTGGGTCGGCAACTCAATCCGCGCATTGCCTCTCTTTTGACTTTCTAGTTTCTACCATGACCACATTGCCCTCCCCCCACCTAGTTCGCCGGTACCTCAACTCCCAGGGCAATCACGTCATTGTATCCCATATATTCAATTCAAGCATTGTCAAATCACAAATGCTCACCAAATATGTTGATTCCGAGCAAATCAATCACTCTATTTTTTGTGGGTTTTAAAGTTAGAAATAACTAACCTAAATTGTTCGTACTCATCCATCACCATTATACTTCACATATGAAATAACAAATAATAGAAGGTCAGCATAATAAGTAAGCAAATATGAGTCGTTTAACCAAATCTACGATGCAAACCAAACATTATACTTGACTCAATATGGAATATGCTAACTAACGTTACTCAAACCAGCTCTAAGCTCTTCTTCCCATTGGCTGACAGTTTTTAGATGGGTGCATATGGCCCTTCCAATTATTAACTGTCGATGAGCTCATAAATCATTCTAGACAATTCAAACTAAAAAAAATTCACATAAATGGGCGAAATCACCGATACGTCAGCGAATTCATTAAGAATCAAAGTTGAGTGAGCTTATATGTAATTGGCCCCTTGGAAAAAATTCCCTTCCCTCCTCCGAGTTCACATTTTGAGCCTTGTTCCACATCCCGTCCGTTCATCTTTGACCTCTAGACAGACCTACTACACCACCACCACCGTCTCCAAACCGTCATTAATTCCACTTCGATTCATCCTCATTCCACCCGGTCCTACTCCCGTGGAATTTTACGCTCCCAATAGCACAGTTCTGCACCGCAGGATCGCCATCAATGGCGTAAAACCAATGCCATCATAATCACAAATGAATATGTACATGTGCCGCACGGCTATAGAAAACAGAGCGAGTAAAGCCCCCCCTTTTCTGTTCACATATAAAACCAGGTGGTAGTCTTTTGCTTGAGATCTCAAAAACCAAAAAATAAAGCCTAACCATTCACAAATCTCCCCTCCAAAACTTCAAACCCTTCTTCTGCTGCTTCTTCTTAACTCCTACGTTCCACCCACCACACACGAATATATATAAAAGAAGCCCCCTCTTTTCCTTTCTTTCCTCGTCCATCTCTTTCGTAGACATTCTCCCCAGCATTCCCCATCTCCCCCAAAAGAAAAACAGAGAAAACAGAGTACGCAGAAAACAGAGCAGGATGATGCGCTTCTGTCTCCGGCCGCTTCTGTTTACCTTTCTCATCGTATTGCTGGTTGCAATGTTTGCTCCGATGAGGATAGACGCGATTCGGACTACTGGATTCTCCGCTCCATCGACGGCGACCCAGCAGCTGTTCCGACCAGGAGATCAAGTACAGTACCCTGCTGTCGCCGGAGGGGCAGGGTTTCGGTCGGAGAAGCGGCGGGTTCCGACCGGGTCAAACCCATTGCACAACAAGCGACGATGATTTCATCAAGAGCCAGAATTTTCAGCAGAGGTTTTAGCACTTAGCACTTCCTAATTAAAAAAAAAAAATTTCTTTCTCTTTTTGGTGGGGTGTTCTTTCCTCCCCATGAAAACGAGAACCTCGATCTTCTAGCTGGCTGGATATATTAAATTGAATTTTTGTAGGCAGTATATATATATAGCATATATATTGTTTCTTTTGTGTTTGTACATAAGGTTTGAGATATTTGCAATTGTTAGTTTCAGAAAATCATGAACTTAGATAAGTCTATATACAGAGCTTTGTTGATTTCTCTGTTCTGTAAGTAAGTCTTTCTTTCCAGTTTTCTGAAGTGTTTTCTTACAATTAATTACTATTCAATTGCTGTGTCGACTGAAAATGATATAGAAAATCAGCATCAGAACGGTTAGGGGAACCCATCATCTCCATTTATGGACGGCAGTTGCGTGAATTGGAATTTGTAGCTACTGTTCTAATTGTACCAATAGGGACTTCACTTCACTGTCATAGAGCTCCTGATATAGCTCTGGAGGAAAGGGAGAGAGAGTAGAATGGGAATAAGAATAGGGAAAGGGATGGATTTCTGTGATTGCAGCCCAGCCATTGATGATGAAGATGATCAAGTACTGTAGTGTAGGGTGATAGACCCCATCCATGGTTTTAAATGGGGTGGGGGAGAAGGGGAGTCGTGTAGATAAAATACTGAATATTCATTGTTACTTTGTACACCCAACAACCTTTGTAGTTTTGGTGTTAAGGAGAATGGAAGGGTAAATGCTAGGGGGTACGCAAATGGTAAGGAGCAAAATAATCACACGACGTTTAGATACCATAATAACGTTATACAAGGTTATTATGCTAAACGACTCGAATACAAGACGAACCCTTTGGAGTGTGGACTTGTCTGAAAAAACATGCGTATCGACAAAAGAAGCTGAAACCTTGGATACACTTCAATATGGCCTACACGAACCTACCACTATATATGGTAATGGATCTATTCATTGAGTAATTTAATTCAATTATCATGACTTGTATGAATACTGGATTGGATCCATATAAATTCATATGCACTTTTTTAGATTTTGGTTTGAGTTTGAATTTTGATCTATTTGGGTTAGTCTAAAATGAATCTAATTGAGTCTAGATGATAAAACAATGCCAACTATTTCATTAACCACCTTTAATCTAATTATATACCTTTAAAGTAGATGTTTCCACCTTTCTATTTATTTCATAACAAAAAATATAAAAAAAATTGTATTATAACCGAGTATCTATTTTCTATTGGACTTTCAATAGTATTATCTATTCAGTTTACAACCAAACTAGAAATTTGAGTATATGCATGCCTCAAAAGTAAAATTATCGAAACTGATTTTACTCCTAATAAGTAGAGTTTGGTCCCAACTTTTGAGTCCTTCTCCGGTTCTCTTACTACAGCACCTTATCAGAATATAGAATCCGTCTTTCTTCTGTCGGGGGAAAATTGATGAAATTGTGTAGTTTATCAATGAATTATATTTATCGATATCTTATTAAACTCCAACCATTTTTTTTATCGTGAAACCTGCTATTATACTCCAACAACGAATACCCTTAAAATTGAACAATCAACTAGATGATCTTCAATTTATAATTTGTTAATTTTCTTTTTATCTTTTCACCCTCAACGGGCCAAATTTAAACCAAACTGACCCACCCGGTTCCAAAACCCAGGTCCACTTTCCCAGCCCCTACAAATTGCTTCAAACCAACTCAATTTACTGCTATCTTTTACAGCTATAACCAGGGTAAATGCATTCCTGAATTGGCCACTCTGGTTGGTTCAAAAGGTATTTACGAAATCGGGGCAGTTTTTCATCCACATGCAAATTGTTCCATTAAGTCGCATCCACTTATTGCACAAAATTAAAGGAAGAAACAGAAGAGAACGTCACCGAAATTGCTCTAAGGGGGAAAAAGAGGTTGCATGCATGGCTGGCTGCTGTATATACACGATGGGTAAAATGCTAGCTAAGCTATTAGCTGTAACATTCAATGGAGTAGTAGTACTGTGTATTACGTTCTGGCAAAATGGTGGGTACGTGGTCCATAATGCGTTCAGTTTCTTTCTTGTGCGTAATTTGTGCTACTTATTAATATTATAGCTGTTGTTGCTAAAGTAGCAGCAGTGGCAATACTAGCTACTAGTAGTAGTGCTGGTTTAAATTTGCATGTCCTTTGGAGCAATAACAACAATGGCCAGCTCTCTCCATTCCATTCACCACCATCCGCCATTAAGACCACCACCAACAACAACAATGGCTGTAGCCGGTGCTTTTTGTTATATGCGCATGGAGCTTTTTCCATTTTCTAACTTGGGTTGAGGGGAATTATTGTGTAGTTGAAGATATGGGTTACCCCCTTTTTGAAAAGTAACAATACACAATGCGTGTTCGATTCCTTGAAGTCAAATATGTTAGATCGATTGATTTATATTACATATTCCCAGAAAGGAAGTTTACACACCATGCTACTACCAATGTTTCAACCACAAAATATCAATATTGAAGGCTTAATCGATAGACAGTATTTAAATGGTACTAACGATTGAACTACGGTTAAATCACGATTTTGCCATAAAATATTTTATCGTTGAGTTTTCCAGTATGGTTTCATGGACCATGGCACACACTATATATATAATTCCATTTTTGGTTTCTAGCGTCGCCAACTGAGTAAGATCATTGTCGTGACTATTTCTATGGATTGGTCAATCCGAGGATTGGCAGAGCAAGAAAACGAAACAAGACACACAAATTTACGGGGTTCACTACACAATGTGTATTAGCTAGTTCAGGGGTAGGAGAGAACTAGTTTCACTATATTTTGAGGTGATACAGATTACAAAGAAGTATGAGAAGAATATATAGTACTTATCCATGTGGTTTAACGCTAATCCAATATGGTAAGCAATAAGGTTACAAACTAGGCCCAAAACAGAAATCCAAACATTTATAAGCCCATACACAGTGGATTAGGGGGAGCCCATGACCGGGGCGTTGCCTCTGGCTCCACTAGCTGGTTAGGTTGCGAGACCCTCTTGACTTCCAATTGTCGTTAGAGAATCCAATTCAAGTCATATCAACAATTGTTCACATTTAAGTCTCTTATACTTTATAGCTACAACAATGAGCTACATGAAAACTAGAGGTGTCAATCGGGCGGGTTCGGGCTGGGTTCATTCGGGTTGCGGGTTGGTCGGGTTGCAGGTCGATCGGGTTGCGGGTTGGTCGGGTTGCGGGTTATTCGGGTTGCGAGTCACTCGGGTTACGAGTCAATCAGGTTGCGGGCCAATCAAGTTGCGGGCCAATCGGGTTACGGGTCAATCGGGTTGCGGGTCGGGTCGGGCGGGTTACGGATTTTACGGACCAGAACATCGCGTTAGTTTTTAGTGATTACTAGTAAGTCTTAAATCGTAAATATATGAAGCTAGCACAATACTTGTAAAAAAAGGAATCACTACTCAAAGTCAAAGACTCAAAGGTGGGGGGACAAATTTTTGGGGAAACATTATGGGGGGAATTATTGGCGGGTCTCGGCGGGTGGAGGGAATCAAATTTTTGGGCAGTAGTATTGGGGGAACCGAAAATTTGGAGAGAAAAGTTTAAAAGTAGTTTTTTAATTTTTTAAAAACAAGTGAAATTGTTCATATAAATGTATAGAGAAATTGTTGGTTTAGCTAGTTAATTGTTTATATGATTTTTGTAATAAACTAAAATTTAAAATTTAGAAAAATTGTTGGGGGAACCGAAAATATAGGTATGGAATTATAACATTAATATGCGCATGAAATTATAAGATTGGTGTCAATAAAATAAATATCAACACAATTGCCGCATTGTAAAAGAATCCCAATGCAATTCATGTTATAGTGGAAATCTCCCAAACAATTTGCATCTACCGATTTTATTCCATCCTGCATAATTTGAAAATTTCGCTCCCCAATTTTTTGCCTCCATAGTCCTAAAATTTTACTTCTTTCAAATTCTAAAATTTGCTTGTGATTCTGTCGCCCACTCGGTCAAAATTTTGGCTCCTAAAATTTCAAGTGCCCGCCATCCTAAGTCCTACCTTTTCCCTTTTTATCTTTTATTTTAGCATTTTATTTTATTTTTAGGAGACTATGAAGGCGGAAGCAAGCTCCAGTACCCCATGGACTTTTGTCCTCCAGAAACTGAATGTCATTGTCTCCACCCAAATCACTCACCACACCATTAATACCATATACTCTAACCATATAACCTACAAGTCGACTCTATAACCTATACTCTAAACCCCTACTGGTTTGATTCATGAACATATCTTAATAAGAAAAGTTCATCTTATTAGTTATGATTTTGACTAACCGTGGTCAAATCATTAAGACTTTATACCCTAACCATGTACCCTATAAGCCGACTCTATAACCTATACCCTAAACCCCTAGTGATCTAAATTCTGATTGATGAACATGTGTTAATAAGAAAAGTTGATCTTATTAGTTATGATTTTGCTAATAATTGTTAAACCATTAATACCTTATACCCTAACCCATTAGACTAACCATATATCATGTACATCGACTCTATAGCCTATATACCCTAAACCCCTAATGGTTTGATTCATGAACACGTGTAATAAAAAACTCGATCCTTATTAGTTATAAGTTATTATTTTGAGTTTTTTACTAATCGTGCCTAAAATATTAATACCTTATATCCTAACACATTACACTCATTATATACCCTATACACCAACTAAAATAAGCAAGTAGTTATGTGTACTAAAATAAGCAACTTAAATCTTATAATTATCTTATTATGCTAAATTAATATTTTATAATGTTATGTGCACTATTAGGTTGATGATGTATCTAAATAAATATTTGATGATATTATATGCGTTAATAGGTTGATGATGTATATTATTATACTAAGTTAATAATTGATGATGTAATGATCAGACTTTAGTGAACTAGAATTTCAAATGTCAACTTTTGGTTTATCTTCATCGAATTCCTTCTATTATAGTTGGGTTGCGGGTTGGTCAGGTTACGGGTTCGGGTTAGTCGGGTTGCCAGTTGGTCGGGTTGCGGGTTGGTCGAGTTGCGGGTCGATCAAGTTGCGGGTCGGGCAGGTTACGGGTCATTGACTTTTAGTCAAATCGGGTTGCGGGCGGGTAGCGGGTCGGGTTGATCAGGTGGGTTATTATAGGTGGCAATTCTCAATCCAATCCACCAATCCAATCCATTAATCCATTTAAAATATCCAACAAATCCAATCCATTTTATCCAAATCCAATTGGATTGGTGGATTGGATCCATGGATCATCGTCAAATT